TGGGAGGAGGTAACTATGGGGAGGAAGTGGGAGGGGAGCTGCTGCATTGTAAATTTTGGTCAATGACATGAGACAAAGTATATGTGAACTGCTGTATGAATAGTGAATTTACTCTGTAAATCTTCACCCAAATCCTAATAAAAAAAAAAAGACAGGATAGGTTAATTTCTCTTTTTAAGACATTTAGATTCTCTGTTGTTTTAGATTACTTTGTCACCTTCTACCAGATAGATTTCACTGGGTGTCAGACCTGAGCCTTGTGTAAAAAGTTGGTGATGTAAGGAGTTACATGTAGTTATTGGAAAGATTAAGCCTGTCATTCAGGAACTCATGGAGACAGAGACCTACATACATACAGGAACACTGCATACTAATGCTTTCTCACCTACCAGTGTCTCACGTTTTCTCTCCTTGCAGATTAAATGCTTCTAGTAGGTTGAGTACTGAGAATTGAAAATGGGATTTAGCAATGTAGACATCATCAACCATTTTGATAAAAAACCATTTTGGTGGAGTGGTAGGGATGAAAACGTTGTAAAATGTTTAAGAAAGGATTGGAAAAGAGAAATTGGAGATAGTAAGAGAACAGACAACATTTTGGAAACATTTAACTATGTAGGGGACTAACGAAAAAATGAGGAGGTAGCTATAAGAGGATATAGGGTCCAGAGAAATTTTTATGTTTGTTTTTTAAGGCTAGAGGCTGGACGTGTATGTTTATGTGTCTAGTAGGAAACAAAAATTGATGTTGTAGGAGAAGAGAATTCTAGGAGCATTATCCTTGAAAATAGAAAAGAGGACATGATATCTAGTGCAAGTTATGAGAGTTTGGCTTTAAGTGGAAGCACAGCTATTTCATATATAGTTCCAGATTAGAAGGCATATTTTGTGTGTGCAGATAACTGTAGATCATGGTAGGAATCTATGGAAATTCTTTCCTTGCTACTGGTATTTTCTCAGTGAAATGAGACACAAACAACTAAAAAAGACAGCTGGGAGGAAAGATGAGTGAAAAAGAAGAATGTGTTAATTATTGAGGAGGATGGGAGAATGAATGAACTACAAAATAAATGATATAAATATGTAATATGTTTTCCTGGCAACAACAAGGACCTACTTGGTTTCATAACCAATTTTTCGTGAGTTAATATATCCACAAAAGTAGATTTCATTACTGGAATTATATTTCATTAACTTTTCTCTAAAAATTTCTTAAATAATTCCATTCTAAAATGACAAGATTTTTTTGTTGTTGTTCTTGTTCTTTTTCAGGTGGTATCGGGCCCCTGAGTTACTCTTTGGAGCTAGAATGTATGGTGTGGGTGTGGACATGTGGGCTGTTGGCTGTATATTAGCAGAGTTGCTTCTAAGGGTCAGTCCTGAATTAATGTACATATTTCAGTAATGTTATAAGTATATTTCTTAAAATTTTGTAAGAATTCTCTTCCCACTACTTTTCTTCCCTTTGGGATGAATTGGATTCTTTTTCTTAAAAGTAAAAAGTTTTTAATCACATGCCATAGTCACAATTGTGTGTAGGTGAAATTCTGATCTCCTTTAGCCTTCTAAGACATTATAGAACAGGGGGAAAAAAATAACAATAAGCACAAGCTATCCCTTTTATATAGAGCGAGCAAGCAGCAGAGGGACCCAGCCCCACCCCCAAGTGGCAGGAAATCAGGGGGACCAGGACAGAGTGAGCAAGTGGCAGGGAACCAAGTAAGGGGAGGGTGGACAGGTTTTGAACAGCTAAGGGAGACAAACTTGTCTGTCAGTTTGTTGTTTTGTGGTGGCATGTTGCTGTGATGCTTGAGGCTGTGTCACCAGTGTTTCAAATGCCAGCAGTGTTGCACATGGTGCGTAGGTTTCAGCACAGCTTGCAGCCTGGGAAGAAGGAAGAGACTATTCACTTCTCAAAGAATTGGCCAGGGAAAACCTTATGAATAGCAGAGAAACACTGTTACATTAGTAGGCAACTTTATGAATAGCCCAGAAACATTGTCTGCTACAGTGCAGGAGGACAAGCCACTTAGGTCGGAAGGCTCTCAAAATGCACTGGGAAAGAGCTGCATCATCAAAGTAGAACCAACCTTACTGACAGGGATAAAATAAAGCTTTCAAGATCTCTGTTTGCTGATGTGACACAACTAAAATTCAGGAGAAACAGCTGCAGACATCCATTAATAATAGGAACGTGGAATGTACGAAGTATGAATTTGGGATAATTGGAAGTTGTCAAAAATGAAATGGAATGCGTAAAGATTGATATCCTAGGCATTAGTGAGCTGAAATGGATTGGTTTTGGCCATTTTGAATCAGACAACCATATGATCTGCTGTGCGGAAAGGACAATTTGAAGAGGAATGGCATGGCATTCATCATCACAAAGGATGTTTCAAGATCTGTCCTAAAGTACAATGCTGTCAGCGATACGATATCCATATGCCTACAAGGAAGACCAGTTAATATGACTATTATTCAAATTTATGCACCAACCACCAAAGCCAATTGAAGGAATTCAGTTGAGGAAATTGAAGATTTTTATCAACTTCTACAGTCTGAAATTGACCAAATGTGCAGTCAAGATGTGTTAATTATCATTGGTGACTGGAATGCAAAAGTTGGAAAGGAAGAATCGCTGGTAGTTGGAAAATTTGGCCTTAGTTACAAAAATAATGCTGGACATTGCATGATAGAATTTTGCAAGACCAATGACATATTCATTACAAATACCTTTTTTCTTCAACAAAAGAAACAGCAACTATACATGTGGATTTTGCCAGATGGAATACACAGGAATCAGATTGACTATATCTGTGGCAAGAGACGATGGAAAAGCTCAATATCTTCACAGAACAAGGCCAGGAGCTGACTGTGGAACAGACCATCAACTGCTCATATGCAAGTTCAACTTGAAGTTGAAGACAATTAAAACAAGTCCACGAGAGCCAAAACATGATCTTGAATATATCCCTCCTAAATTTAGAGCCCATCTAATGAATAGATTTGATGCACTGAACACCAATGACTGAAAACCCGAAGAATTGTGGGATGACATCAA